ACCGTGAGCCATGACGCAAAGATCCCGCGTGCCTCAACAAAGATCCCGTGTGCTGCGACTAAGACCCGACACAGCCAAAAAAAAAATAAGGAAAATAAATAAATTAAATAAATAAATATATATATATATAAACTAGTAGGCCAAGTATAAACAGATTCACTGTGGATGAAACTCATGCATACTCTTACACCAAGACAGGTTACAAAAGTGCTGACCCCATGGAATTTAGTTTATTTCTTATTCATATTTTTAGAAAATCATAGTTTTAAAAAATTTATAGATAGAACTATAGAAATTACATAATCTGAACACCAGAGAGAAAATAGACTGAAAAAATGAACAGACCCTCAAGAATCTGTGGGGTTATAACAAATGGTCTAACATTTGTGTCATTGGAGTTCTGAAAATAGAGGAAAAAGAGGAAGGAGCATAAAAGTATTCAAAGAAATAATGGCTGAAAACTTCTCAAATTTGGCAAAAGAATAAACGTACAGACTCAAGAGGCTGAGTTAACTCCAAACAAGATAACTAAAAGAAACTACACCAAGGCATATAGTCAAACTTCTGAAAACCAAAGACAAAGAAAAACACCTTGCAAGCAGTGAGAGAGAAATGACATCTTACCTCTAGAGGAAAAGCAATTCAAATGACAGCGAATTTCTCACCAAAATTCACGAAGTCCAGAAAAAAGTGGCATAATGTTTGTCAAGTGCTGAAAGAAGAAACTGTCAACTCAGAATCCTATATCCAGTGAAAGTATCCTTTAGGAACAAAGGGGAAGTCAAGACCTTCTCAGATGAAGAAAACCTAAGAGAGTTTGTTGCCATTGGACCTACTCTAAAAGAATGACTAAAGGAAGTTCTCTAAACCAAAAGGAAATGATAAAGGAATATTTGAATATCAGGAAGGAAGAAAGAACACAGCAAGCAAAAATATAGGTTACTGCAATAAACTGTTTTCCTCTTGGGTTTTCTAAATTATGTTTAATGGTTGAGGCCAAAATTATGACATTGTCTGATGTGGTTCTAAATGTATGAGGAGGAAATACAAGATACTAATACTAAAACAGGTAAAGTAAAGGGACATAAAGGGAGATAAGGTACCTATACTTTACTGAAATTGGTACCAGTAGACTGTGCTGAGTTATGTACATACAATGTAATAACTAGAATAAGCACTAAAAAATCCATACTAATAAATGCACTCAAAATCACTATGTAAAAATCAAAATGGAATTCTAAAAAATGTTCAAGTAATCCACAGGAAGGCAGGAAAAAGAAAACAGAGAAATAAGAGAGATAGAGAATAGATAGAGAACATATAGAAAACAGAATGGCAGATTTAAGCCCTAATATATCAACAATTATGTTAAATGTAAATGGTCTAAAAACACTAATTAAAAGACAGAGCCTAGCAGAGTGGAGTTTTTAAAAGCATGACCCAACTGTATGCTGTCTGTAAGAAACTCACTTCAAATATAGGGCTTCCCTGGTGGCGCAGTGGTTGAGAGTCCGCCTGCTGATGCAGGGGACACGGGTTCATGCCCTGGTCAGGGAAGGTCCCACATGCCGCGGAGCGGCTGGGCCCATGAGCCATGGCCGCTGAGCCTGTGCGTCCAGAGCCTGTGCTCTGCAACGGGAGAGGCCACAACAGTGAGAGGCCCGCGTACCGCCAAAAAAAAAAAAATGATATATGCATATTGAAAGTAAAAGGATAAAAAAATATATATGGCAAACGGTAGTCAAAAGAAATCATAAGTGTCTATATTAATATCAAAGAAGGTAGACTTCAGAACAAAGAAAGTTCCCAGAGACATAGAGGGACATTATATAATAATGAAGGAGTCAATACACTAAAAAATTTAGCAATCTTAAATGTGTATATGCCAAGCAACAGAGCTACAAAATATGTGAAGCAAAAACTGATAGAACTGAAAAGAGAAATAGACAAATCTACATTTATAGAGACTTCAACACCCTTGACTCAATAATTGATAGAATAAGTAAACAGAGAATCAGCAAGGCTATAGAAGAACTTGACAATACCATCAAACAACAGAATCTAGTTGACGTTTATAGAACAGTCCACCCAGCAACAGCAAAATACACATTCTTTCAAGTGACTATAGAACATATAGAAAGATAGTTATGCTGGACCGTAATACAAACCTCAAGAAAGTTAAAAGAATTGAAATTATACAAGGTTATGGTTCTTTGACCATAGTGGAATCAAATTAAAAATCAATAACAGAAAGATCATAGGAAAATCTCCAAACACTTAGAAACTAAACACCTCACTTCTAAATAACCCACGGGTCAAAGAAGACATCTCAAGGGAAAATAAAAAATACATTGAACTGAATGATAATGAAAATACACCACATAAGATTTGTGAGACACAGCTAAACCAGTGCAGAGAGGGGGAATTTTTATCATTAAATGTATACATTTGAAAAGGTGAAAAAGATCTCAAATCAATAATCAAGCTCCCACTTCAATGTCCTAGAAAAAGAAGAGTAGAAAAAAAGAAAAAAGAAAGAGAAGCATGGAAAAAAGAAAGATAGGCCTAGAAATCAATGAAATTGAAAACAGAAAAACAACCTCCAAGCATTGGTTCTTTGAAAAGAGGATTAAATTTTAAAATCTCTAGTAAGACTGACAAAAAGAGAGAGAAAAGATGCAGGTTACCAAATGAATGAATCAGGAATGGATGAATGAATCAAGGATATCACTATAGAACCTGCAGACATCAAAAGGGAGTACTAGAAACTCTACATGCAAACATTTAACAATTTAGATGAAACAGACCAACTCCTCAGAAAATAGAAACTACCACACTGTACTCAGTATGAAGTAGATAATTCAAATAGCCCTATAACTATTAAGAAAATTAAATATAAAATTTTGCAAAAAATAAAAAAATCTATAGGCCTAGATGGTTTCACTGGGAAATAATACCAAACACTTAAACAAGAATTAACACCAATTCCATGCAATCTCTTCTAGAAACTAGAAGAGAAGGGAACAATTCCCAATTCATTTATGAGGCTGGTATTATCCAGATACCAAAACCAGACAAAGGCAATAAAAAAAGAAAAACTACAGACAATATCCCTCATGATTATAGATGTAAAAATCTTTAATAAAATATTAGCAAATAGAATTCAACAAAATATAAAAATAATTATACATCATGATCAAGTGGCATATTCCCCAGGGATACAAAGCTGGCTCACTACTTGAATACCAATCACTGTAATCCATCATATTAATAGGCTAAAGAAGAAAAATAATTTGATCATATTAATTGATGCCCCCTCCCAAAGCATTTGATAAAATTCAACACTCATCCATGATAAGAACTCTCAGAAAAATAAAAATAGATGGGAACTTTCTCAATTTGAAAAGGAGCATTTGCAAAACACCTACAGCTAACATTATAGTTAATAGTGAAAGATTGAATGCTTTCTCCCTGAGATTGTGAATCATGTATGAATGTCCTTTCTCAAACTCTTATTCAACCATAGTGCCTGAAGTTCTAGCCAGTGCAGTAAGGCAAGAAAAGTAAATACAAGACATACAGATCTGAAAGGAAGAAATAATCCAGTTCTTATTTGTAGATGACATGATTGTCTATATAGAAGTCGGAAGGATTTGAGAAAAAAAAAAAAAACCTCCTAGAACTAATTAATGAATTGAGCAAGATTTTAGGACATAAGATAAACATACAAAATTCAGTTTTATTTCTGTATACTAGCAGTGAATATATGGATCCTGAAAAAAATAGAATACCATTTACATTGCTCAAAAATGCAGTACTTATGTGCAAATCTAACAAAACATGTATAGGACTTTTAGGCTGAAAATTATAAAATGCTGATCAAAGAAATCAAAGAAGATCTAAATAAATGGAGAGACATACCACGTTCATGGATTAGAAGAGCCAACAGAGTAAAGATGTCAGTTATCTCCAAATCGATATGCAGGTTTAATTTTTGTAGATATAGATAATATTCTAAGAATTTACGTAGAAATGCAAAGAAACCAGAATATCTGAAACAATTTTGAAAAAGAAGGATAAAGTGGGAGGAATCACTGTCCCTATTTTCAGGACTTATTATACAGTTACAGTCATTAAGACAGTGTGGTATTGGTAGAGGGGTAGACAATTAGATCAATGGAACAGAATAGGGAAGCCAGAAACAGATCCACCAAATATGCCCAATTGATTTTTGACAAAAGTGCAAAAGCAATTCAACGGAATAAAGATAACTTCTTAAACAAGTGAAGCTGTAGCAATTGGTAGGCAAATTGATAGGCAAAAAAAAAAAAAAAGAACCTCAATCTAAACCTCATACCTGATATAAAAATTAACTCATGGACTTAAATATAAACATAAAACTATAAACTATCAAACTTCTAGAAAAAAATGTGAGAAAAATCTTCAGGATCTAGGGCTGTGCAAAGAGTTTGACACCAAAAGCGTGATCCAAAAAAGGGAAAATTTGATAAATTTGACTCCACCAAAATTACAAATGTTTGCTCTTTGAAAAGTCTGTTAAGAGGATGAAAAGCCAAGCCATAGACTGGGAGAAAATTTTTGCAGACAACGTATTTGTCAAAGGACTGGTATCTAGACTATATAAAGTACTCTCAAAACTCAACAGCAGAAAAAACGGTCCACTGAGAAAATGGGCAAACAACAGGAGGAAATAATTTCCCCCAAAGAGGATATACAGATGGCAAAGAAGCACGTGAAAAGAAGTTAAACATCATTAGCCGTTAAGAAAATGCAGATTAAAACCACAGTGAGGGCTTCCCTGGTGGCACAGTGGTTAGGAGTCCACCTGCGGATGCAGGGGACGTGGGTTCGTGCCCCTGTCCGGGAGGATCCTGCATGCCGCGGAGCGGTTGGGCCCGTGGGTCATGGCCGCTGGGCCTGCGCGTCCAGAGCCTGTGCTCCGCAGCGGGAGAGGCCACAACGGTGAGAGGCCCGCGTACCGCAAAAAAAAAACAGAAACAAAAACAAAAAACCACAGTGAGACACCTCTACACCCCTATCAGAATGGCTAAAATAAAAAATACCACCCCAATGCTGGCAAGGACGTGGGGAAACTGGCTCACTCATACGTGGCTAACAGAAATGTAAAACAGTGCTAACACTCTGGAAAATTGCATGGCGGTTTCTTCAAAAACCAAGGGTGCAACTACCATACAATCCAGGATTGTACTCCTGTGCGTTTATCCAAGAGGAACAAGAAGACCCCTCCGGGCGCCAACCCACAGGTGACTGACCCACCGCGGGAGAGAATAAGAAAAACAATCTCAACAGCAATAGCTACCAACAGACCTCTTGTCTAGTGGAGACCGTCACTGTCATCGCCCCCACTTTGTGGTTGAGAAGACTGAGGTTCAGAGGCAGTTGTCAAGGCCACGCAGCTAGTATGTGGCAGAGCCAGTACCTGAACCCACTTATTACTAGTAAGTGATTTAATCTTCCAGTTGTCAGTATGGCCCTTTCCACGGGAGAGTAAGGAAGGGTTCAGCCCGTTGCCCCAGGCCACATAGCTGGAAAGTCAGGAGGTTTAAACCGGAGGCTACTCTGCCTTCTGGGCTGGAGTCCTGTTCGTGCTAGGGTCGAACTTTTCCTAACTTTCCCGGGTCTCTTTCGCCCAGTCCCAGGGGAGCAGGCACCACCCTTTTCCTCCGGGAGGCGCAGGGAGAGGGCGGGTCCCCAAGCGCAGTCCCCTCCCCAAACCCTCCCCCAGGCTATAAGCCGGAGCCGGGGGGCCAGGCGCGGGCAGTCCCGGACTGGCCCGCTCCGCGGGGCGATCGCGCAGATGGCGGCGCTGGCGACAGTGGCTAAGAAGGTGTGGAGCGCGCGGCGGCTGCTGGTGCTGCTGTTCACGCCGCTCGCGCTGCTGCCGGTGGTCTTCGCCCTCCCGCCCAAGGTAACGCCTCCTTTGCCTGTGGGCCCCCCGTTCCGCGCCCTGGGCGGCCGTGCAACAGGCAGGACCCTCTCCTCCCGAGCCTCTGAGGCGGAACACCGCTGAGGTCCCAGTCTAGACAGATTTCACCAGACCCCCTCAACCGTCCCCCCTTTACCCTGCCTTGGCCTGCTGTGAACACCTCTTGCCGCAGTTCCCCTTTTCTAGCTGCTCCTTGGAGCCTGGGTCCCACCTAGCCTTCTGGATCTTCTCACTTCTACAGGCATGATTTCTTTTTATTGAGCTCTAACTATGTGCTTGGCGCTGTGTTGCACATTTCACTTGATAATCACAAGGAACGCTTGATGAATGCCAAGCTGTGTAACCTGGGGCAAGTCATTTAACCTCTCTGAACTTCAGTTTACTCATTTGTAAACATAGGGGAAACGATAATGCCAATCCACTGGGTTGTGGTGAATATTAAATGAGGCAATCTATGTAAATCTCTTAGAACTGAGCCTGATACACAGTAAGTGCCTAAGAACGCACAGGCTGGTCTTATTTCCACGCGCCTCATGTGATGGGGATGGCCAAGATTTAATAAACGCTTGCTGGGAGCAAGGTGCAGTGCTAAAATTTGCTTTATGTGCATCGTCTTATTTAATCCAGACTGAAAGTGCCCCTCAGAGGGGGAGGATCATTTGCCCCATTTTCCAGAGGAGAAAACTGAGGCTCGGAGAGAAGTGACTTGCTCACAGTCACATAGCAAACAGCTGAGTGGGATTCAATCCCTGGCTTATCAGAATCCAGAACATGACCTGTTTCTAGACTCTCAAAGAAAGTAATCCCTAGAAGATCAAAGGCTGCAGATTGAGGCCAGGAGTGTCATGATAAAAGTCACCACCAATGGGAGCTGGAAGGAGATGGTACTGCAGGTCCCTGTTGGGTCCCTCACCTCTGCTCAGCCCATTTGCAGCATCATGGGAGGGCACTAGGCTCATTAGACAAGGCTTCTACCTCCAGGAAGTTGTTTCACTATCCCTCAATGAGATAGTAAATGTTCATAGAAGTAAAAGTAAAGAGAGTGTGTAACTTAGTGGCGGATTACCCAGCACCACCAGCAGAGACCAGGGGAGCTGGGAGAGGTGTTCAGAGAGGGATGCCTGGAGGAAGGAGCCCTCCTTGGGCCCAGGGGGTGAGGAAGTTATACGAAGGAGATGGTGTCAGGAGATCCAGGGCAAGTTCTCTGGTGTGGAATTATCCAAGCAATTAGACTTTCTTGACATGCAAGAGAAAAACAATAAATCCTGGTGTAAGGATTAGGTTGCTTATTCAAAAACTAGCGCACCCCAGACCACTCGCTGACTTCAGGACCTTGGACCAATCTCCTTTCTTCTTTGGGTCTCCCTTTCTTTGTCTATAAAATGGAGCGATCTCCATGCTAGCTTCTGAGATTTGATGTGAGGGGCTGAGTAAGGAAGTTGCTTCGCTTTGTGAAGCATCACCGGTGGAAGGCTAGATGGGTCTGGGAGGTCCCAGGCAGAGCTCTGGGGAAGAAGTGATGAAACACACAGAGTCTCTCTCCTCAGCAGGGTGTTCTGAAAGCTTCTCTCCGCTCTGCCCTCTAGCAAGATTTGTGAACCCAGGGGCAGGTCCAAGTGTTACGGGGCCTGAAGCATGTACTTTTTAAGGGGCTCTCTTTAAGAAAAAGCTTACAGATTTACAGATACAAAATTCAGTACAGGGTTTGGGAGTGGCTCTGAAGCTTAAACTTCATTAGCTTCACAGAGAATCCACTTCCATATGGTCCCCAGTGTGCACGTGTAACAGCGAATGCCTGACCCTCTGCGATGGTGGTGAGCCTAATAAATAAAGTGTTTCATTGAGTGCTTCACTCTTCTCATGTGCCAGGCTCCATGCTAAGAGTTTCTCAGGCATTGTCCTACATAATGTCCACATAATCAGGGAGGCAGCTGCTGTTAGCATCCCTATAGTACAGGTGAGGAAATGGAAGCTCAGCAGGGTTAGGTGACTTGCCCAAGGCCACACAGCCAGTACAAAGCCAGAATGCAGTGTCTGTACTTCTAACAGCTGCATTTTATACTCTTTCTTTCATTATAATTGACTAAGAACCTCTCCTGTTTCCCTACAGATCCCTGGTGGGTACTCTTGGTGTGGCCCTAGATGTCACTACCTTTTAAAGTGGCTGATAAGCCAGGGCCTCCTCCCAGGAGGCAGGTCTGACTTCTTGGGAGATCTTATTAGCCTCCCTCAAAATCTCTGTCGGCACACTCAAAGCCCCCTCCTCCATGTAATATGCATGTATTTATCATATTATATTATTATTATATCCTTGGATATTAATAACTGACATGTCTCTTAATGTACAATGTGAATAAAAGCATCCTTAGAGAATAATGAACAGAGAAAATTGCTGTTTTTATTGATCTGTGACATACATTTAAAGCAAACAGAGTGGGTGTGCTCTGCACACATAGTTTCAAGACAATTCCTGTAATCGTAACCAGTTTTAATCCCGTGATAACCTCCCCAAACAAAGGCTGGCAGTCTAAAAAAACATTGTGCTTTCTGTGCAAATGAAGCTTCAAGGCAAGTGTCCTCTGTGTCTACCCCACCCCCAACATCAGATTGCTGCTTCTAAGCCGCTCTCACCTGGAAACTCTGGAGCCACCAATGCCGGTCATAGGGTACACCTGGGTTCCCAAAAACTTTTGCAAAATTGTAGGTATCGGGAAAGAAGTTTGAGATCCTTGGCACTGATCATTTGCCCCTTGCTGGGTTCTGTTTTTCCAGCTTGATAAGGTCTACAGGCCATTGCTGCTCTGATGTTCTAGAAGACTGTGTGATCGAAAGGGTTGGTTCTCATACACCTGTCCCCTGGCGACTGGTGAGGGAGGCTGCAGGGAGGCTGGGGTTAATCTGAAGGGTAGAGCCAAGGGGTGGGGATGGCAGGGGATGGGAACAATTCTTACATTATGTCCTCCTGGCTTGGAACCCTGTCAGCAGGGGTGAAAAGGAGTGGGATGCCCTTCTGGAATGCAGTGGCTGCAATTTCCAGGGCCACTGGGGATCATGGCTCTTGCCACAAAGAGTGCCAGAGCCTAAGGAAGTCAGGACACTGCCGGAGGGACCACCTCAAAGTTTTCCAAGAATGGGCATCTTGGGAGGTGGATATTAGAGGACCGGCCTTGGGCAGCTAGAGGGGACGGATGAGATCTGCACCAGTCCCTTGTGTTTGCAGAGAAATCTTGCCTCCTTTCCCTTCCTACACCCACTGAAAGCAAATTTAGCTGGACTGACCATCTGGCCAAGATGCGTTCTTACAGTGGGTACTCATAGGTGACTCTTTCTAAGGATGCTTTGAGCAGGAGGAGTTTGGGGGAGGGGGTGCTCTGGGCAGGACTGCTGCAGAGTGTCCTACAGGCTGTGCACTGCACAAGGAGACCTGAGGAGGCAAAATGAGACTGAACCAACCCGCACTCCACATGCCAAGCTGTGTACTCTGGTGCAGTGCTGGATCCACCTGAGGAAGAGCCCCTTTTCCCAGTTTGCACAAAGGCATCAAGTCTGGCTAGCAGCACACTTGTTCTGGGGCGGTAGTACATCTGTGAAGTCAGAGGCCCACTTTTTTTTTTTGCATATGCTTAATTCTTGGGTGGGGGAAATTCAGGTGGGTGACCAGGACAATGGTTATTTCATTCCCAGTTTTGAGTCTTTGGAATCAGAACTGGATTCTCATTCCACATCATTGCTCTGTGACCTTGAGCAAGTCATTTGGCTTCTCTGGGCCTCAGTTTCTTCATTGATACCATGCCCATACATCACCTTCCTCCCTGGTTATTATCTGGGCCCAGTGAAATCGTGTGTTATACTTGCACCATCACTTCTTACTTTTTTACCCAACGCTCTAGATGCGTTTTAACTCGCCTATTTTGCAGATGAGGAAACTGAGACTCAGAAGTAAGATGATCGAAATAGCATGGGCCTTGGAGCTGGGAAGACCTGGGTTTGGGTCTTGGTTCTGAAACTGTGAGTCAGGGAGCTTGGGTTGGAGATTTCACATTTCTGACCCTCGGTTTCCTCACTTGTGAAGTGGGGAGAACTCACGTGCTTCCCATAGGGCTACTATGGGACTTAATTAAGAGAAGATACAGAAATTGTCCAGTGCCGTGTCAAACGTGGTGGGAGTTTATAATACTAATAATTGATAAAAATTTTTTCTATTTGCCCCACACTGTTTTACATGCCTTTCACATTTTAGTTCATTTACTCTTCACATCAGCCTTAAGAAGTGGGAATAATGATTATCCCCATTTTTACAGATGAGGAAGGTGAGGCCCAGAGAAGGAAGGAAGTTGCCTGAAGCCTCACAGGGAGCTGTGAGTGGCAGGGCGGGGGTGAGTGCCTCCATCTCCCTCTTCTTGTCCAGTGATTCCCCCATCTCAGGCTCCCAGTCATCACTGTTTTATTCTATCGACATTTCAATTAATCTCTGAAGCCTAACTTCTAGATTAGGGATGCGGGGAAGCAGAGGTCAAGCTCCCTTATTTCCGTTCAGATTATAGTAAGCCCTCAAGAAAGGATAGGACCAGCTAATATTTATTGATTACTTACTAGAAGCTCAGGCCCCCTCTCTCCCTCTGCACCAGCCACACTGGCCTTCTTGGTGTTCCTTAAATATCCCAAGATTGCTCTCACCCCAGGGCCTTTGCACTTACTGTTCCCTCTGTCTGAACTGCTCTTCCCCCCAGGTGTCTGCAAGCCTTTCTCCCTCACTTCATTCATCTTAGTTCAAAGATGACCATCCTCAAAGGCCTTCCCTGGCCACCCTATCTAACATAGAATACAGAAAATCCTTTACACTTTCTTCTCTGCCTTATCTTACTTCGTGGTCTTCATCGCTATCTGCCAATATATTATGTGTTTAAGGAACGGACAAGTCAGAGTAAGCAGACCTAGGACTGGCTAGTTCAAATAATTTCAGTGGGCTCCGGGACATAGAG